AACAGCAGGAGTCAAGGCCTGAGCCAGGCGAAGGCCAGATATTACAGGAGTGGAAAGAAGACCAGCAACAAATATGAGGGTGGGCGGGGGGAAGTGGTAGGAGAAGTTGGAGAAATGGGAAGGGACCAGATCATGTGGAGACTCTTGCAGCTTCAGCAAAGAGTTTGCAGTTTATTTTCTGTGAAAAGGGAAACTCTTAGAGAGCTCCAAGGTTTTAATCAGGAGTATTCATGATATGTGAGATTCGTGCACTAGAAAGCCACTGTGTAGAGGATGGGTTATAGGGGAACAAGAGGAGAACCAAGACCCATTCAGAGTCTGTTGAGATAGTCCAGGGAGAGAAGGTGGTGGTTTGGATGTGAGTAGTAACAATGAAAATGATGACAAATGGAAAAAACAGGGTTGTATTTGGGGGAGAGCCTACAGAACTCTCCAAAGGACAGATGTAGGGAGCAAAGGAAAGAAAGGAGTGAGATTTGACTCCTAGTATTCTGGTCTGAGAATTGGGTGAATAGTGGATCTTTTACTTAGATGGAGAAGAGGGGGTGGGGTTGGGTATGACTTGGGCAAGAGTAAGAAGAAAATCAGGTGTTTCACTTTGGCTCTCCTAAGCCTGAGGTGCTTATTAGACACCCTTGTGGCACTGTCAAGTCGGCATTTGCACAAGACTGGGACTCAGGGAAGAGTGAGAGCTAAAGGCACAAATCTGGGTCCTTCTGCAAACAGTGGCATAGTACACAGTTATTGCTTTGTGGCTTGAAATCCAAGCATTTACCTTCCCAAAACAGATCCGGGCACCCAGATCTCCCATACAATTTCCCTGCAGGCTTGGCAGAAGGCTAATGCCCTGTCCGCTGCAGTGCTGACCAGACACTAAGCTGAGGAAGGGTGTGGGGGCCATCAAAGGCCTTTGCATCTTCTCCACCCACTTCCTGAGGCAGGCATGTGATTCAAGTTGGGCCTATCAGACCCTCGTTTCTGATGCTTTGAAGCTCCAGCCAGTGCCGCAAAGACAGAGGGCATGTTCTCAGGTCCGCTGTGGTGGTGGTCTGGGTGTGTAAGAATGGGACTCTCCCTGAGGCCTGCCATTCACTGGCTTCCTGCAACCAAGTCCCCACCCCTTTTCCAGGTCTGGTCTCCCAGCTCCCACCTAGTCTGGGAGTACCCCAGTACCCTTTCAATCGATATACCTTTTGCTTACAAAAGCCAGAGTTCCTTTCTGTTGCTTATAATCAGGAATCCTGACTAATATACATAATATTGAGTTGGCCAAAAAGTCCTTATGGTCTTTTCCATAAAATCAAAGATACATTTTTCATTTTCACCAATAATGCTATCAATTTGGATATTTTGAATATGCTGGCTATCTCCTGCATGGTAGAACATTGATTGTTCTCAGTTAATATCTCCATTTGATCGCTATCAACTTCAGCTGCTCTACCCGACTGTGGAGCATCATGCAGTGAGACACTCCAGCACAAACTGCCCAAACCACTGCTGACACATTCGAACAGTCACACCACCTTCTCCATGCACTGCACAAGTCTCTTTTTGCATTTAGGTTGCATGTTTATCTTTCTGGAAATAATAAAGCATAATATGCCAAAAATGTTGCTTATTTTCTTCTGTCTTCAATATTAAAATGCATACACAAAAATTCACCAGTTTTGAAAAGTTTTTTTAATGCACACTGATATGACAGCTGTCACAATACAATCTAACAAAATTGTTTTGAATGAAGTTAAAGACAACTAAGTGCTACTAGAGCCATCTTACAGGAAAAGAAAAATGAACTTTCCGGCCAACCCAATATTTACAGTCATGTGGCCCGATGAGACTACCAGGGTCACAGTTCAGAGAAAGGAAGAAAGGGTGATTTCTTTCATAGATGAGCTGTATTTGGAATAAAGACTTGAAGACTACTGTAACTAAATTATATCACCACAGAATTCTGGTTGAAACCCTGCCTACCCTCCCCAAAAGGATAGTATTTAGAAATAAGGCCTTTGGAAGGTAATTCAGTTTAGGTGAGGTCGTGAGGGTGAGGCCCTCATGATGAGAAAGAGGCCCTGGAGAGACTGTTCCCTCTCCCCGCCCCACTGTGAGTGTTCTAGGGAAAGACTATGTGAGGACACATCAAGACAGTGGCTGTGTACAATCCAAGGAGAAAGCTCTCGCAGGACACCCTACTGGCACCTTGATCTTGGACTTCCCAGCCTCTAGAACTATGAGAAATACCTTCCTGTTATTTAAGCCCCACCCCCTGCAATCTCTGACATTTTATTAGGAGAACGCAAGCTGAGTAAAACATGGACCAAAACCTCCGGGGCACCCATAACTCCCAGTGGGAAGGTACTACTCATCTCTTCAATAATTAGCCCAGCCTGGAGCATTTTCTCCCGGAGCCAGGGTGGCTCTCTAGGATAAGGAGCAAGATGAGGCCTCCTATGTAAGGTCCTGGTGTATTTCCCATCAGAGCAGAGCGGGGGATGAGAAGAACAGTCATAAGGATTTGGTACTAGCAATGTGGCCACCAGCGACTTAGCCTGGGAGGTGATCTGTCACAGAGTGGAGGACAAAGGCAATGTTGCAGCAACGAAGAGGTTAAAGAAAAAGCAGGGGAGATGAACACAGCCAGAAGGGAGGAGGAGCCCCTAAGACACCGAACAGAGCAACTTTCCCTGCAGCACGAGCCCTTCGGGAGTCACATGCTCATAAAGTGGAACCACACTTAGCACTATGGGGCTGCACAGCTCCCATGGCAGTGACCCCCAAGAATTCTCACTGGCACCTCCATCCCCTGCAGTCCTTGCTCCTGCGCCTGCGCCCCGTTCCTCTCCACCTCGGCCGCAAGAACACTGGCTGCGTCCAGGGAGCAAGAGCAGGGAAAGGATAGTGAGGTGGTGAGGCCAGGGTCCTAGTGGACTGGCACAGGACCTGCTCTGAGCCCTGGGGGCACACTCTGGGCTTGGGGATTGGCAGAGGCAAGAAGCACTGCGGGCAGAGGGACAACAAGGAAGTGTTGCCACCAACAACAGAGTATGAGCTGGATTTGCAAAATCTGAGGGTTCCCAGGTGTGTGATTTCCAACTTTTACTGTATGTTCAAATCCCTCTAGGCTCTGTATTTTTTTATAAGCCCCCTCCTCCTCCCATGCCCAAGTGACTGAGAAACACCAGTCTTTTGCCAATCTTCCAAAAAGGCATGCTTATCATATGTTCTGCCTTCAACAGTGTTTGCTAAGTTGGGAAAAATAATTTTCAATTGACCCTTCTATAAGGGAAAAAAAAGAGGAGAAAAGGGAAGAGAGAAGAGGGGGAGGGAAGGGAAGGGAAAGGAAGGGAGGGGAAGGGAAGGGAAGGGAAGGGAAGGGAAGGGAAGGGAAGGGAAGGGAAGGGAAGGGAAGGGAAGGGAAGGGAAGGGAAGGGAAGGGAAGGGAAGGGAAGGGAAGGGAAGGGAAGGGAAGGGAAGGGAAGGGAAGGGAAGGGAAGGGAAGGGAAGGGAAGGGAAGGGAAGGGAAGGGAAGGGAAGGGAAGGGAAGGGAAGGGAAGGGAAGGGAAGGGAAGGGAAGGGAAGGGAAGGGAAGGGAAGGGAAGGGAAGGGAAGGGAAGGGAAGGGGGAAAGTGAAAGGGAAGGGAAAAGGATGACAAGAAAATTTTCAAACATTTTTTCAGGTCAAACTGCAGCTCCTGTGACTATAACCTTCAATTCCCAAAAAGCCTCCTTGTAGTTTTCAAGTGTTAATCCCAGTGCTGTGCCTGAATTATCATCTTTAAAGAGCCCCAGCGTAAAGGTCAGAAGGAAAACCACAGTATGTGGCAGAAGTTTCTCGGCTTCACGCACTTGAAAGGCAGAAGCCGTTCAGAGGGACACAGAGAAAGAGGTCACCCATTTAAAATAAAAGAGCTTTGGCTGCGCAAGCCAATCCTTTGAAACAGCTTACTTGTGGTTTAATTTGATCCTTTACTGTTTAAATAGTTAGCAAAAGGTCTCTGAACAACATAAAACTGACTCCTCCCTCCCGTGCCTCAGACCTCTTGGCAGCTACCAAACAGCATCCCCCAAAGTGCGGCCCGCGGAACTGAATGAGGGCTTCTGCGGTTGAATGAGCTTGTAAAACACTGGGTTAAATAGGTTTTGTTGCTGCAGAACTTGTCAGAGCCCTTATTTCGTTAATACGCACTCTTCGTGGCCAGGGCTACAAAGTGCGCAGCGTGCCCTTTCCTGACTTGGCCACCACGGAGTCCTTGTCATGGGCAGTGTCCCTCAGGACCATGGCTCCACGGAATCCTCAAGATCCACAGCAAATGCCTGAGTCTGGCACTCTGGCCTTCCACTCCCAGCCCCAGCCCAGATTCCCCGCCTCCTTGTCTTCCCTCCACACACACACCCAGGCCCGAAATTCTAACCACACCAGCGTCCTGCCCTTTACAAAGCACTTAAAACGCTTTTGCTCAGGCTGCTCACACTGCCAGGAACACGCTTCCTCCTCCTCATGACCCTCAAACTCCTACTCATGCTTTGAGTCCTTGCTCAATCGCCCAGCCTCTACGGACCTTCGCCTGCTCCCTGCTCTGGGCTCTGTCACAGTGCTGATTGCCCTGCCCAAGAGCTCTGAAGAGGCTGGAGTGCGAGCTGACTCCAGAAATGTGTGTTAGCAATACTGAGAGCTTCCATCTGTTGGCACGTCCAAAGGCCAGGCATTATTGTAAGCTCGTGGCAGGCATCAACACATGTAATCCTCAACCTCACTCACTGGATAAGTATTATAATTACTATCAATTATCATTATCCCTACTTTATAGATGAACAAGCTGAGACTCAGAAAGTTACCTTGCCCAAAAACACATTGCTGGTGAGTCTTTGAGTGTGAGGACTGGGATTCAACTGTAGGCTCCCAAACACAGTATGATCCACGCAAGATCAGCTGAGGCGAGCCCCATTCCAGGGCTGGCTGATTCAGAAGTAGCGCAATGTCATCAAAGACACAGGTTCTTTACCTCCCTCCACAGAGCATCCTCAGTAAATCAGCACTGCCTTCAGGTTGGCTCCCCTCATGGTGCTAAGACAGCAGCAACAATTCCAGCCATCACATCCTGATGCACCGGTGTCTGGAAAAAGAAAGGGGATGTGAAGTGGAGGCTAAAAGCATTATTTCTGGAGTCAGTTTTACTTCCTAGGTGTCTGACCACAGGCGACTTAGGAGGATGAAAGCTATAGGGAAGATGGAATGGTCTGTCTTGCAGGGAGCTTCCATCTTCTCTCTTTTACCTCCAATTTTTGCCTATAACACTCTTCCCCTCCTTCTTCGCCTAACACACACCTATTCTTTTTCTAGGAATGATCTTCAACCTCACTTCCTCCAGGAAGCCTTCCCTGATGGCACCCCCCACAGACTGGGTTCAACACTCTTGCTGTGTGCCTCTGAGTACCCTGTACTTGCCTCATTAATATTCACCTCACAGTACAATCATCACTTGTCTCATTGTCTGTGTTCCACACCAGTCTATGCACCAAGGAAAGGAAGAAAGCGTGAATCCCGTCACCATCCCCAGTGACTGCTGCAGTACCCAACACACAAGGGGCTCGAAAAATATCTGCTGCATGTTCAAGCAGAAGACAGAAGGTCACCTAACCGAGGTACTGGGGCATGGGCTTGGTAGTTCACTTTTAACATCTTTAGGGCTTGGGGTGGGCAGTTTTCAGGCTCATCCACTTGTCCTTGTTCGGGGGCACTGGGGAGCCTAGGGCCCATGTCCAAAGGACGAGGTGAGCCATGAGCAAGAGAAACGGCTCCTTAAGTTCCCCCCACACACACGATTTGGGATAACCTTCCCATAAATGTGGTCAAGAGGCGCGGGGCAAAGCACAGAATCTTAAGGCACACAAACCCCAGAGGCTCAAGCCCTGACTCTGCCACTTATGGCCATGTTTTGGGGCAAGTTTTATCATCTCGCTGGGCCTTGTTATATTCATCTGTAAAATGGAGTTAACAGCAGAGCTTCCTCCAGAGGACAGTTGTAAAGATTAAAAAGACAAGTTATGTAGAGAGCCGGGCACAGAATAAACCCCCCATAAACGCTGGCTGCTCTCAGCAGTGTGCACGTGCACAGCGACACAGCAGGGCAGAGGTGGCGGTCTGTTCTACCACCGCATCTCCGGGCCGGCTCCCTGGAGCCCCAAAGAGACTTACCGTTGGGGATGGTCTGATGGGCCAAGGCGGGGAGGTTCCCCGGTTGAGCACGCTACCGCCCCTCAACAACAAGGAGCTCATGAAGATGGAGATGAGGTCATCGACAGCTGCTGAAAAATGCAAGGTGGTGGGCAGGGTTGAAGCCAAGCTCCCTGAGTAATCAGAGCTAATTGCATATTGAGTTGGGAGAGTGTTTTACGAAGAGAACTTTCATTAGTTTTTCCTCTAGGACAGTCTTAGGAATCCCTGCAGAATTAACTGCTCAAAAGCTTGACAGCACGTTGAGAGGGCACTGGACAGGAAGTCAGGACACTTCGATTCCTGTCCCACTTCTGCCGGCTGCTTGCCTCCGAACCTTGAACGGGTCCCTGCCCTGCTCTGGCCTCGGTTGGCCTCCGCGACATCAACAGTGCCTCGGTCCCGTGGCAGTTCTTACAGCCTGATGGCTAAGATGGCAGCCTTCGTGGGTTCAAATTCCAGCTCTGCCACTTAGAAACGGTACCGCTCGGTCTCTAAGTCACTCAGCCCTTTATGCAAGTCTTGATCTTGTTTTGTGTGAATCGGGAATTATAATTGTACACACTTCACAGGACCCCCCTGCCTCTTCTTTTCTCCTACCAGCTCTTATGAGGATTAAGAGAGGCAATTACGTGAAGCTCTTAGCCGGCCCCAGCATACGAGCACTCTGTAAGTGGTAGCTGTTACAGTTGTTTCAAGTCGGCAATTCTCTTGGCATTTTTGACGGCAGTGAAACCTGGGAAAACCTCTGACAGAGACACATAAGTTCCCTTCAGATGGGAACATCCCCGTCCAGAGGACGGCTCTAGGAGGGGCTCTGTCCTAGAGCTCGGGAGCAGTCTGCCTCACGCAGCCTCCAAGTCCCTCTGAACCAGCCAAGCACACCTCACGAGGGTCTTTGCTCTGGGACTGGTCACCCTCAGCATCTTTGCTACTCAACTGATGGCTTTTGCTCCCAGCAGGGACTGACCCCACCTTTAAAAAAAAAAAAGAAACATAAAAACAGTGCTTACAGGGGGTTTGGGAACGTGAGAAGCTGTCCTTTGCATCCGTTGCTTTTTCAAAAGGAAAAAGAAAAACTGTTACCCTGCCAGTGGTTAAAAACCTGGGCTGCAGAATCAGACAGATGTGGATTTAGATCTGGGCTCTACCGATCAGTCTCCATGACCAAGGGCAAGTTTCCTCATCCCTCTAAGGTTCCACTGTCTCGCATGTAAAAGAGGGTTCAAAATAGCTATCTTTGGGGTTGCTGGGTGAGATGAAACATGATGATGCAGATTAGGCTCTTAGCATAATTCTTAGCATGCAGCAAGTACTCACCGAGAGCCTGATGTTATTATTATCACCAACAAAAACTAGTATGGAGTTAAATTAGCAAGCAATAAGATTGTCACGAGGCTGTGAATATTCATTAGGCAACCCACCCGTGAGGGTGTTTAGCCAGCTGGTAGACGTGAGCCAAGCACAGCAACCTAGGCGGCTACCGGGTGCTCAGACACGCTGCAGAAAGTGTTGGCCAGCCCCCTGCCCCATTTTTTACAGACAGGGTCACTCACACTGATCCAGATCCTAGCTCCCACCCTTTCTCCGCTTGCTAGGTAACCAGGCAAGTTCCTCCCCTTCTACAGATGTCGATCTCCTTGCCTATCTGAGCTAAGAGCTGGATTGGCGGTTCTTTAAATTTCTAAATCCCTGTATTTTAAGGATAGCGCTACATTCCTATACAATTGTCATTTACACGTACATCTGGTCGCCTAATCATGTCCCTAATTAAGTCTTTCATGGATATTTAAATTTGTCACCTTTAAGCCTTAGAGCGGATCTGGGGAGAGATGAGATCTTTACATTCACGTGGACTCGGCCATGGGACCTCTCGCAGAGAGAGCACAAGCTTTAGGTTGGAGAACCTGGGCTCCATTCCCAAGTCTCACGTGTGGGACCCTGGGAAGGCCTCTCGCCTCTCGCCTCTCCTGGCCTCGGTCTTCCTCAGCTGTGAAATGAGAGTAAGGACAACTTCCCCCCAGTGCAAGGACCACTGTGAAGATCATAGGCAGGAGAATGGTTCAGAAGAGGCCAAAGGATCCAGGCCGGTCCACACCGAGTGTCTCCTGAGGCTTTTGCTAGGTTTGCACCTGGGAGTTGCTGGCACCATCTCTGACCACCCCCTGGGGTGGGGTCTGCCTGACAATAGAGTCAGCACAAGGGAAAGCAAGAAAGTCCTCCCTGGAGCATATGCCCCATGAGGGCAGGGTTTTGTGTCTTTTGTTTACTGATACATCCCGAGCACCTTGCATAGTACCTGGTACATTGTAGGTGCTCAGGGCATGTTTGTCGAATGAATAAATGAAAGTTCTTTGAAATCTGAAGAATGTTGTAAATGTCTATAATAACAACTACAAATGGTTGATCATAAGATTTTTTTTTCATTTGCTGAATGGATTTGCCATTTTGCTGATACCTTGAGATGGAGCCAGACACTCCTGAGATCTAGGACAATAGCCAAGCCTCGGTGCCTCGTCTCAAAGGCAAAACATGGCACCAGGTAATAGAGTTTTTGCATTTGAAGGTTCTTCCCCTTATAGCCGTCCCTACAATGCTGTGTGTCTCAGCCCCTCTCCTTGACCCTCTTCTCTTCTCATCCTCATGTTCTCCCTCTTGAGCTCATCCTCTCCCAGCGTTTTAAATACTTTCTCTATGCTAAAGCATCCCAGGCCTCTCTCTCCAGTCCTGACTTGTAGACCAGACACCCAGCTGCTTACCTGACCTTTCTGCCTGAATGAACTGTGCACAGCCAGTGAAAACACGGGCACCGACAGCAGAGCAGTAAACCAAGCGAGACCCCTTCTGAGCCCAGGGCCACAGCCCAGGCTGCATGCCTGTAACGCTGGCCTTGACTGCAGACACCTCAAATTCAGCATGTCCAAAATTTAACTCATGTTTCTCCTAGCCCAACAGTCTCCTCCTCCTCAGTTCCTCACCTCAAAGAACAGCCCCTCCTTCCACCCCACCCCCCCTTTCAAGTTCAGTGCAGCGCTTCACCGCATCCTGATCACTGACACCTAGGGAGCCTGCTTCCCAGGGGCCTCTGCCACCTGTCTGCGCTCCCCTTGCCCTCGGATGCTCCCTGACCCACCAAGGTCCTTCTTTTAACCGCCTCCTAACCACACCCTGCCTTCCCTGTCTCACACCCACTCCAGACCAATCCACAGATCACTGCAGAGTGATCTTCCTACAGTGTAAATCCTTAACGTAAAGTCCGGACTCTTTAATATGGCAGGTAAGGCACAAATGATGTGATTTCCACTTCCTTCTCCAGCCTTACAAAGCAAACTCCTGAATTTTGTGGCGATCCTCCCTGTGTGCCGTTCTGGTTGCTTGAAACACCCTCACTCTTACCCACACCCCTCCCCCCTTCATCAGGCTTCTGCCTAGAAAGCTTCCTTGACCACTGAAGACCCAGGCCAGTGCTGCTCCTCCGGACGCCCTCAGCCCTTGCTCTCCCCCCATCACAGCTTTATTCATGAAACGGTGTAACTCCCATTTGCTGGTCCAATCCCCCAACAGGCAGTAAGCTGCTGAGGGTGTCTGTCTGCATTCCTGGGACTGGCTCAGTGCTCAGCTACTTGAGTTCATTGTCGCTCTACCTGGAGCCGGTTCTACGAAGGAAAATGAGGGTGGTGACCTTCCAGCTGATGAACCAAAAACAAACAGGCGAACAAACGCGCTGCATGAACATACCTTTCTCAAAGTCTCTCTAGAAAAGATATGAGAGACACCAACCACACGAACTTGTCCACACGTATCACGCACTCATTTATTACTGGACACGCAGGCACACACTTAACTCAGGAAGCGGGGGAGTTGGTGGGAGGGACAATCACACTTACACGT